AGTTAGGCACTTTCTGTGGCATCGCGCTGATGCCCAGGAAGTGGGTTCTCTGAGCCCAGAGGCCTTAACACCGGTGGGGAAATAAAGACAGAGAGCTCAGGACCTTGGGGTTGCTGACCCCCAGGAGAGGTCAGGCTGATTTAGGCTTTCTGGTTTTGTCCAGTTCTGCTCACCTCTTTCTAAACCACCCTTTTCAGGGGGCCTGGGACTTCGCTGAGGCCCCTGCAGGAGTTTTGATTCTTGGAAAGGTTCCGTGCTCTTTGGCCCATAAAAGGACATTACATCCTTGTGGCTGGTATGTTTGAATGCGTCTCCTAGATAAGGGCTACCTGCCTCTATGGAGTATGGAGCCTCCTGACCCACATTGCATTCCCAGGTGGAATTTCCAAGGGAGCAGGGCGCTCCAGAATGTACTCACGGATTCCGAGAGGGCCTGAGCCTCTGGCCCTGGAGTGAGTGGCTCGTGTGAACTGGGCTTTGAACTGACAAACTCCAATCTGTTTAGCACTTAGATTGGGGTGGGGTAGAGGGTGTTATCAGATTCTTAAATCAACCTCAAAGCCTTCAGCCCTCAGCTGCCTTCTCATTTCTGAAGTAGTCACTGGGCTAAAGGTCATTGCACAATCTTTTTCTTCAGTGATTCACTTATTTTGGTGAAATCAGCTACAGTCATTTGAGTCAGTCTCATCTATCAAGGCGAATGGGTGGTGTTGATTTCTAAAGAGTGGCTTCAGTCCCTGTCTTCTGCCAGGCAGGGTCCTGTGATGTCTCATTTGATGCTGGCAATCCTGAGAGGAAGATCCTGCCCTTCCTGTTTCACAGAGAAGGAGACTGAGCCTTAGCGAAGTTAGTAAGGGCCTGAAATAGGGGCCTGTTTGGATGCTAAGTCATGTCTGACTCTTTTGTGACCCCGTGGACTGTAGCCCGCCAGGCTCCTTTGTCCTTTGCATTTCTTAGACAAGAAAACTGGAGTGAGTTGCCATTTCCTTCTCCAGGAATCAGGGTAATCTCACCCCAGAATTCACTTGGTTACTCCTGTGCCCCAGCTGCAGACACCAGGCTTGATCCTGAGATCTCGAGACATTTCTCAATAAAAGTACTAGTTACCAGTGGATGTAGGGGAGCAAGCTTCCATCTGCCCACTAATTCCATGTCTCTGTGTGTGTGTGTGTGTGTGTGTGTATGCTTAGTCATGTCTGACTCTTTGCTATCCCATGGACTGTAGCCCACCAGGTTCCTCTGTTCATGGAATTTTCCAGGCAATAATACTGGAGTGGGCTGCCGTTTCTTTCCCAAGGGGATCTTCCCGACCCAGGGATCGAACCCATGTCTCCTGCATTGACAGGCACATTCTTTACCGACTTCCCCACCTGGGACTGCCTGCCAAAGGGATTCTAGCTCCATGGTGGCCCCCTCCTCCTTCCTAAGCACTCTCTTCCTGAAGCTATTCTGACGACATGTCTCTTCCTCCCTCCTCAAGCTCCTCTCACATATTTATTCTTTTCTTGTATTAAGCTCTAGCTTTCAGTATCCAAGTCAGTGGATGGGGAGATGTGTGCCTCATCCAGTTGGGAAACCTGCCCTTCTTCTGCTCCACCTCTGTCTCCAGGGCCGGTGACTTAAAGGCTACATGGAGTCGGGCAGGGGGACTTGGAGGATTTTTAAACAATCATTTCCTGAGGACCTGTAGATTTTTAAGTTGGGAGAAATGAGAAAATCTTGAGGTTATCATGTCCAAATTAAGAAAAATAAAAGTGGCTAGAGAGTGAAATCATCTGTTTCTTTGAGCAGTACGTGGTGCCAGGCATTTATCACCAATCTGTGCTGCAGTCTATGAAGTAGTTGTTACATTTATTTTACATGGGAGAAAAGTGAGGCTCAGTGAGGTTTATCTGATGAAAACCTATGCCATTTCAGCTACCCTCTTCATCCCTGTTCCTTGCCAAGACTGGCTGGAAGAAGGCTGGACTATGGTGGTCACACTGCGTATGGACTAGTCCTTCTTCCCTGAATTTGCCATTGTCTTAAGGACCAGGTTGAGTTGGGGCTACCAACATCATTCCCATTATCACTCTCAAAACGAAGAGATTCCTTTGACTCATGATTGCAGAATCTGCTGTTTGTTGGGTTATTTCACTAGAAATGAGGGAGTGGCCTTTGACCTGCACATTATTTGGGGGTTGGGGGTGGGTAATGAGTCTCTTACTTAAAAATAATTTGATTTTTTCACCATGGCTAACAGTAATATTTCCCAGTTGGGATTCAATAGGTAGATACTCTATAAAAATAATAAGTCTTATAAGTGATAGAAATAAGGATTAAGTGTTTATCAACCTTTTTTAAAAAAATACCTTTGGAATGTTCCATGAAGTCTGGTTTGGGAAAGAAAGACTGACCTAAATAGAGGCCACATTCCTTTGACAGGCAACCCCCTTCTTGAATTGCCCCTCTTGCCTCTGTAGCCCTGTGTCTCACACTCTGCCACCCCCACACCTCCACTGATCACATATATACTTTTCTGTTATTACTGAACTTCCAGAAGTTCTTTTCAGCTCTGACTGTTGGCTTCTAAGCCATTGAGCTGCCTGGGATACACACTTCTCAATACATCCCCTTAACTCCTAGCAAGTACTTATGTATCTTTAGGATTCAAATCAAGTATGCATACCCCTTAGTAACTGGTTACTAAGACCCTGGTTCCCCAGCTTCTTTCATAGTTTCTATAAAATCCATAAGTGCACTTAAACCTGTTTTCATATATTCATCTATATTTCAGTTCAGTTCAGTTCAGTCACTCAGTCGTGTCCGACTCTTTGTGACCCCATGAATCACAGCATGCCAGGCCTCCCTGTCCATCACCAACCCCCGGAGTCTACCCAAACCCATGTCCATCGAGTCTGTGATGCCATCCAGCCATCTCATCCTCTGTTGTCCCCTCTCCTCCTGCCCCCGACCCCTCCCAGCATCAGGGTCTTTTCCAATGAGTCAACTCTTCGCATGAGGTGGCCAAAGTATTGGAGTTTCAGCTTCAACATCAGTCCTTCCAATGAACACCCAGGACTGATCTCCTCTAGGATGGACTGGTTGGATCTTCTTGCAGTCCAAGGGACTCTCAAGAGTCTTCTCCAATACCACAGTTCAAAAGCATCAATTCTTCAGCGCTCAGCTTTCTTCACTGTCCAGCTCTCACATCCATACATGACTACTGGAAAACCCATAGCCTTGACTATATGGACATCTATATTTAATATATTTCATATATTGCCCCTCGTAGGGGAGGAATGATAACTTCTCATTTTTGTGTGCTTAGCACTTAGCATAGTGCCTGGCTTATGTATTGATCTATTTGTGTGTGTGCGTGTGTGTTTATTTATTTGACCTTTTAGGTTAATTTTATAATAATTTTTTAAAGTTTTTTCTCTAAACCTTTTTAGGATGTTCCTAAGGAATCTGATTAAATTTACATATTATCTTTTGAGTTTATAAGTTGAGTGTTCTTAAAAATAAAAATTCTGTCTATTCAAATTGTCCTCCATGTCCTTTGTTTCATCCTGGCTCTATGCAGTTCTTGGTGAGTTAATTTCTGCTTATATCACCATCTGGGCTATTACGATGATTTTACCTCTTCTTTTAAATTACTTTTTATTTTTTTAATTAGCATACAATTGCTTTACTTCTTTTTGATATTTAATGGGGTATTTTTAATATTTGAAAAATGACTGGTTTTTATCACTTGTTTAGCGGCCAACAATATCAGTGCATTGTCCTTTAAAATTTTTTATCTGTTGTTCTTAGATTTCCCCAAAATATATTTATGTAGTTTCATAATGATTATAAAGTTGCCTGCTGTTTTCCAGGTCTGGGTTTTTTGAAATTGTCTTCCAAGTAGTTGAGGAGTCAGTGTTAGGCATTCTTTCTACATGGGCAAGAATGATTCTGGAATCTTCCACTCTTCTGTCTCTCAGGCTTGCTGCTGGCTTGCCTTTCCTGACCACCCAGAGGAAGGTGTCCATTTGTCTCAGGAAGGGCAGAGTCACCCCCTTGCTGCTGCCCCAGGTCTATCTTTAGGCCGCCGCCCCACCCCTCCCCTCTCTTCCCCTTTCTCTGGTCTCCCAGCCCCTTGCTTTGATTTGTGTCGGAAGTTCCCCTTCGTCCTCTTGCCTCTTCCCCTTCATTTCCCAAGTTCCCACAGGAACCTGAGAAGTAGGTTGTGCCCAGAGGTTAGAACGGAAACTGCAGCAAGATAACTTCAAGGGACAATACCCAGTTGACGTCATTGCAACTTCTTTGCTTCGGCCAGAGTGGCTTTTTTCCTTCCATTTTCCTTCAGGTTACTTTTCTACCCCACCCAGTCCAGTCTCTGTCAACCTCTGTTTGAAAGATCTCTTGCATTGTCTGGTTGGTTTATATGTTTCCTCATGTTGTGATGCAAAATCCATAGTTCCAGGTGGTGACTTAGAAATTTGTTCTTTGTTAGAGTTGCTTTCATTTGAGTCAAAAGCATTGCTTTGTGACTGTCATAATAACCTCCCCTGATCAGCATGCATGAGTTTCCATGATGCTTCTGAGAGGTGGGAAGTGAAGGAATTGTGTAGCCCCATAATCTCGAGGAAAATACACACATGCATTGAATGAGTTGTCACTGAATATAAAAAAGAAACCGTTATGAACCCTGGTTAGTATTCTTTAATTGGTTTCAATCAAAAAATGAGAAAAGGAAACTCCCATTTATGGAATGTCAGGCAGCGTGCTAAGGCCACTCTCTTGAATTTTTTGCTTCAATTCTCTCTAGCTTAGCTTCCAAGAAAAGCTCCATTTTTCCTAGTTTTTAGTAGAGGAACTAAGGCTTAAGTTAAAACAAACAAAAAAATGGCCTTGAGGTCAAGTCGTTTGAATGCTCTTTCTTGCGGGTGATTCCATGCATGGGAATTGACCTGGGATTAGAATGCAGGTGAGCAGCCAGTCACTCGGTGTCTGTTGTTTCTGTCTCCTCCCTCTAGCTGTACCTGCAGGCCCGCTTCACCTGGCGAGGGGCCCGCCTGCTCCGGCCCCTTCTGCAGTTCACCCTGATCATGATGGCCTTTTACACAGGACTGTCCCGCGTGTCTGACCACAAGCACCATCCTGGCGATGTCCTGGCGGGATTTGCCCAAGGAGCCCTGGTGGCCTGCTGCATAGTAAGTAGCCTCTGGTCCTCAGCACATGAGCAGGGTCATGAACAACTTGCTCATTAAATGTTTTTGGTTCACTGACCAGAGCCGGGGCACTCTCAATCCTCTTCTCTGCCTGGTGTCCCGGGAGCCACCCTGCCCCAGGACCTCTTCAATGAACTGAGGATAATTCCTGTTTCTTTCCAACCTGGAAGTTTTATTTTATTTTTAAATTTTTATTGAGTTATAATTCATCTACCATACAATTCACTTACTTTACTTGCATAATTCAGTGATTTTTGGTATATTTACAGAGTTGTGTAACTATTGCCACAGGCGTCTGATTTTTTCCCCATAAGGCATGTGGGACCTTATCTCCTCAACATAAGGGGGATTTTATGCCCCCTACATCAGAAACACGGAGTCTTAACCTGTGGCCTTCAGGGAAGTCCCTATGGAAGTTTTAATCCAGCAGACTCTATAAATCCTCTTCTCCAGAAGGGTAAGGCTCATAGTCACAATTGCAAGGTATCTTAGATAGTATCCTACTCACTTAACTCTATTCATGAGGGCATTTAGGGTTCAGGAGGGGAAGAAACTTGTCCCAAGTCACATGTCAAGAGTCTGTGACTCATCTGTTGTTCACATGCTGCTTTGGTGAAGACTTACTATTCAGAGGTACTTCCCAGTGTCTTGAAAACTTATACCCTTCCTACTGTGACCTTGGGCTTCCCTTGGAGCTCAGTAAAGAATCTGCCTGCAATGCAGGAGACCTGGGTTTGATTCCTGGGTTGGGAAGATCCCCTGGAGAAGGAAATGGCAACCCATTCCAGTATTCTTGCCTGGGGAATCCCATGAAGAGAGGAGCCTGGCAGACTACAGTCCATGGGGTCTCAAGAGTTGGACATGACTTAGTGACTAAACCAGCACCACCACTGTGACCTTTACTGGACTTAGTCAGACCCTTGACTAGGTGTTGGCTGGGTGAGAGAGAGCTTGGCGAAGGCTCAGCCCTCTCCTAACCTGGGGGCTTTGTACATCAAACCGTAGAGCTTCCTGGAGAATGGTCTTGAATGGATCACATTCTGATTTGCCCCAAATGGCAGGGTTACCGCTTCACATACCTCCTCCCTGACTCCTGGTGAGGGTGGGGTGAGGTATTCTACCACTGAGCCTCTGTTTCTTCAGATCTCTCTGCTTTTCTTGCCTGCAACAAGTTGTTTTATTTAAGAGTCAAAAAGAGAAACTTAAAAAAAAATCTGTACAACATTAAATTTTGTGCTGGAACCTTTGAGGGGCTTATTCAGCCAACATGACTGAGCACCTCCTCTGACACCGTGCTTTCCTGTTCTGTCCTAAGGGGTACTTACCCCGGTCCAGCAGGAGTTCTAGAACAGAGTACTGGCTGGATGTTCAAGAACTACATGCGCAGGTCATGTTGTTAGTTTTAGCCCTTGTTCATTCCCGGTGAGAATCATGAGGTAGAGAGATCAAGACTAGCCCCTGGTCCTTTCCTGGGTACTCAGGCTGGCTGACGCCTGGTATCTCCCTGCACTAGCCACCTTGTCTTCTGTATTCATCACTCTGTGTTGAAACTGTAGACATGTTTCTCCCTTTAGACTATTCCTCCTGGACAGGAACCCTAGTCAATATATATGTTATTCCCCCTATGTCACCAACGCCTCTCAGGGATGCTAGCTCAGACTAAGTGAATGGGTGTGTAATCAACAAAGCTAGGATCCGTGAGTTGATCCACTTTTTCTTGAGAACATTGTTTTGAAGGCAGGGGGATGGATAAGGCACAGTCCTTGCTTTCAAGGCAATCCCAGTTCAGTTGCTCATAGCCGAGCCAGGCTCAGGAACTACAGTAGAATGAGGGGCCATCATGAAGACTGACCAGGGCACTTTAGCAGGCGTGCAAGGTGAGAAGCAGGGCACGGAGTTAGGGCAACCAGAGTGGGCACTACGGAGAAAGTCGCATCTGAGCTGCCAGCCAGCCTTGGCCTGGAAACCCTAGCCTAGGGACTGGCTGTTTTGCGGGCTTTATTCTTTACTTTCTTAAGTATTTTCTTTTCAGTCAAGGCCAGAAGGGAGAGAAATTGGGAGAGCACAGCGTTAATGAGAGCAGCTGTCACCGGGCAGCTTGTTCCCTGCAGCCTGGCCCTTTAATGTGAAGTGACAGCGGGGGATGGGTGTTTGCACGACAGGGTGACCCTCTGCTGACCATGCTGTCTGGGCGTCACTCTAGGCAGGAGCTCGGCCCACGGGGGCCTGCTGTGGTGTTTCCTTTTTGGCGCCACTGCCCTAATTAAAATCTCCTGCACCCCCAATTAAAAAATTGGAAAGATCGGAGGTGGGGGTCCTTGAGAGCCTTCCTGTCTTTTATAGCGCACGTTGTACTACGTACAATGGGACAAAGTGTATGGGAGGACCAGGGTTTATTTTCGAGAAGGGAAATGAGGGGTCTGACTTTTATCCTGTTTGGCTCTGGCAGGCTGGAGCACTGGATAGGAATTTGGTCCGAGTGTTTGTCAAGCACCTACTCTGTGTTGGCTCTGTTCTAGATTCTTTACTCGTCGGCTCCTTTTAAGGCACATGAAGCCACTGGAGATTATAGCCATTTTACAGATGAGGTAACTGAGGCTCAGAGGGATGACTCAGGTCATCCAAGATAAGAGCTCCTGGGATGCTCAAAGCTGTGCCCTCTGGGCTTGGCAAGGAGGCGTGGTCACCTGAGCCAAAGTATCCAGCATACACAGCTGCTTCCAGAGCAGAATTTGAGGGTGTCAGGGGCCTTCCCAAGCCTTTAGGTTGCTCCAGTTGCTGCTTTGGGTTTGCTAGCCTGTTTTACAGTGTTAAGATAGCTTAGGAAAGGGTTGTAAGCATTTTTCCCTGTCCCACTTAGCTCTGAACACACAAGGGTAAGGACTCAATATTTATCATTCTTCTCCCAGCACCTGACTCCCAGCTTAGTCCTCAGGAGCCCATGGTCCCAACTGGCTCAGGATTCCAGCACCGAGTGAGCCATTTCATGTAAGCTACTCAGAGCCCAGAGCAAGGTGTGGGGTCAGCCGAGGAGCTTGAGAATGCCCAACTGGGGGAAAAGAAGGCAGTGCGTCATTTTCCATCATAAGAAGTATGAGGAAGACAGAAACAAAACTCAGGACGCCAGGATGAGCTGGAGATGGGTCTGGGGAACTAAGAAGAGGGGACAGGAAGGTGGATGAAAGGCGTCTGCCTTTTAGGTTTTGTCGCACCTCTTATCAGGTGCTTTCTTGGAGTTGTACTAGGTAGCTTGCAGCCTAGGCAGGAGTCTGTGGCCTCTGCCCTGCTGTGTCTCATAGCAGAACTTGGTCCCAAGAAACAAGGCTGCCCAGGCACATCCCAGGCAAAACCATATTCTCTTCTCACCCATGAATGTGGCTGATATGAGTGAATCTTGACACAGGGCATCACCTGAGACTGGTTAGGAGGACCAAGAAGAGGCAACCCAATAAGGTACAAGGCCACTTCACAGGGGGCCAAGGAATGTATAAGCCATTTCCCACTCTTAGCAATAATCTCCTGAACCAAGCTTCAATGCACCCCCAGCGACAATGGCATCACATTTGCTAACATGCATGGAAAGCTCATGCGCAGCTACTATGTTAAGCACTTTACACTGATCATCTCCAGTGCCCGGAAAAAACCCTACACCCTTCACTATCCTCACTAAAGAGATGAGGAAACAGACAAGGAAGGATGAAGTAACACAGAGAAAGGGTAGAAAGTAGTGGGTCGACTCTAGGTGGTTCAGCAGGGCCAGCTCTGAAGATCCCAGCCTCGTGTAAGGCCTCATCTCCCACTCCTCTCACACCCCCTCCCCTCCAGGCACAGCACTTGAAACAGATTTTTCAGCACCCTGAGCTCCTGTCTTAGACAGCTGTCCCCTTTTGGTGGAGCACAGTTTCAGTTTCACTCCATCGCTGATGAAACCTGTGTTACTTTCCCATGTCGCTGCTCTAACAAATTGTCACAAACTTAGTAGCTTAGAACAGCACAGATTAATTTTCTTAAGAGTTCTTGAGTTCTGAGTTCCACAGTGCATCTCACTGGGCTAAAATCGACATGTTTCAGAGCTGCATTCCTTCTGGAAGATCTGGGGAGAGTCTCAAATATCAATGATTGCTTGACATTTCCAGCTTCCAGAGGCTGCCTGCATTCTTTGGTTTGTGGTCACTTCCTCCATCTTCATAACCAGCAGTGTAGCATCTTCATCTCTCCTTCAGACTCTCTGGCCTCTGATCTCATCAGCACATCTTCTGTGTTTCTGAGTCTTCTGCCCTTCCTCTTTTGAGGGCCTCTGTGATTACATTGGGCCCACCTGGATAATATAGGATCATCTTCCCATCTTGATATCCTTAACTTAGTCACATCTGTGAAGTCCATTTTGCCATGTAAGGTAATGTATTTGCAGGTCCTGGGGATTAGGGACCTGGGCATTGTTGGGGGTGGCATTGTTTAGTTTGCATGTCTTCTCTTCTGCCTTTTCTGAAGACAGTTGCTTAACTTTCTTCTAATGGTGCCATGGCCCCTTGAATGTTTTCCACTATGACATTCAGCCGGGTTCTCTCATAATTGCTCAAATGTCTGTCTCCCCAGGTAGCCTTATGGGTACCTTGATGGCAGAATCCATGGCTTAACCCACGGTTGTTCATTCTCAGTGCCTAGTGCTGCGGCTGACATGCAATAGCTGCTTGATAAGCCTTGGTTAAAGACTGAGTGATGTTAGCTTGTGACTTTCGGCAAGGTACTTCCCCCCTGAGCCTAGTTTCCTCATCTGTGAATTGATCGTGGAAGCCATTTAGCTCCATGGCCTTCTCCCACAGGGATTCCAAGGCTCAGCCAACTTTGGGCTTTGTAGTAACTGAGCTGGATTTGCCTTCTCGGGGCTTCCCAGGTGGCTCCGTGGTAAAGAATCCACTTGCCAATGCAGGAGACGCAGGAGATGTGAGTTCTGTCCCTGGGTCAGGAAGATCCCCTGGAGA